AGAAGCAGGCTCCCGGAACGTTAGCATGGTAGCTGACTACTGCTAACGCTAACGTCCCCACGCTTCTCGGCTCCGACTCACTGAGCCTGGCGGAGAAGCATGGGGACGTTAGCACTAATGGGCTGCCATGCTAACGTTCCAACTCTTCTTCATGAGACCGTGAGCCCGGCTCCCGGCTCAGTTGGAGTTGGAGCGTTAGCATGGTAGCTGAGTAGTGCTAACGCTAACAGGAAAGCAGGGAAATAGCTAAACACAGCAGAGACCGAGAGTGAGTGAAAGACATTGCTAACTGCTAAACTAAGCTGGCTGTTTAGGTTTTATTTCCTCGCCCCTGTGGCGAGTGAATCTGCCTGCAGTGAAAGCGGGGGCTAACTGATGCTTCCTCCTGAGGCTCCACTTCACTCAGCTGCCTGACAGACCCGCTGCTTCTTCCAACTTTAACCTGAATAACAAACAGGAGCTAGCTGGGAGCGGCTAGCGGAGCGTTAGTCGCAGCATGACCGGAGGGAAACACAACCAGTTAGCCTCCGCTAACTTCCCAGCTAGAGGCTCTCCGTTTGGATCCAACCGGAGCACCGAGCCCTGGTTTGTTATTCAAGTTAATGTGGGAAGAAGCAGCGGGTATATCGGGCAGCTGAGTGAAGCGGAGCCTGCAGAAGAAACACCGGGACCGTCTGGATGTGATAGTCCGTGCTGCGGTACTCGTCTCGCTGGCACAGACGAGGCGAGTGGGGGGGAGGGGGTTGGAGAGCAGAGGTAGAGGGAGGAGTGGCTCATGACACACTTTGTTTTGCTCTACAGGCAGTGCACAACAGCGAACCTAGCGGTGAAACGATTTAGCTTATTGACTCTTTAACAAAAAGCTAGTCTGGCATCAAGTCATACTATTTCCCTCCAACTCTCTGGCACATTCTGCTTCACCAACTGCCTGTTGTGAGCGGAGACAGACACCAAACTGCTTATCTTTACTTTTTCAAGCAAAACCCAACTTGAAATATTGTCTAAATCTCCCATAGTTTTGATAAGTAATTTAAACAAATCTGACATACAGCTCGGTGGTGCACAAACATGCTACGTGCAAAGAGTGTAGAGGAGGAGTGCAAAGTTGTAGTCGCTGCATGCATCTGTTTTCTGGGATTATTTAATTAAAGTTTGTTTCGAAGATAGTAATAAGAACCAATATGTGACTATATAAAAAGGAAAGGGGAGGAGAACAAAATAAAAAGAGGAGTGCAAAGGGATGCAGGGAAGAATAAAGTGAGGAGAGGAGAGCAAAACGTACTTGAAGCCTGACTGTTTTAAGTGAACACAGGCCTACTTTGTAGCCTACTAAGGGTAGATTGGTTGGTTTATTATTTTATTTCCCCAGAGAACAGCTTATTTTAATTTTGTGAAAAGATGTATTGATTGTGAATGATTATTTATTTTATAGAGCACTAAAATGTGCACAATATGACATTATTTTATTTGTTGTTGCCTGTTACAAATAAATGATACACGTAGAACATGAAGGTGTATGTGTAGCAGCTGCTGGGTGCATATCGTATAGATCTTGAGACATCCCAGGCAAACCTTTCCCCTGCTTATTATTGTGCACAAATGTACTGTATGTACTGAGGCCTCAAGAGATCTTGCCACACAAAATGTCTGTGTACAGGACTGAAAATAGTGAACATCTATCCAATGTTACAATCAACCCTAATTTTTAATAATATAATTTGAAAAAACAATAATGAACAGAAAACATCATTAACTTTCTTCTTTGTAAGATGGCTGTTAGTAAGCATATTTTTTATAAATGTGGCAAGGTGATATTCTATATGTAATTTGATGTTATCTAGAGTAGTGTTGTCACGGTACCAAAATTGGGACCCACGGTACGATACCAGTGAAAATATCAAGGTTCTGAGTAGTATCAAAATACCACAGAAAAAATGAGGCAGATGTGCCTTTTGTCATTTATAAAAAGATAAATCACTTTTCTATAATACATCAATGATATTTCAGTGGAATAAATAACTTATTGACTTATTCATACTTCAAAAACAGCATCAATAAGTGATTAACATAGGGGGATCAAAATAAAATAAATAAATAAAATAAAAATCAACCAGCCACCCTCCTCCCCTGATAAGTTAAGAACAGTCCCTTAAGTGAGGTGAGGTTTGTGGACCATTACCTGCCACAAAGAGAGAAATGTGAACGGCTCGTTTCTCCTCTGTCACATACCTGTGTGCCGCCACGGCTCGGCTGTCCAGGTACTTCTGGGCAGTCATGACATCAAGAAGAGAAATTATTGGACCTGACCTAGAGCCGGGCTTCTCGGTCGCTGGTAAGCCGTTATCCTGCGCCGCAGAGGACTATGGCCGCCGTATTTCGCCGTATTCCTGTCTGTGACCCCCGTTCAACCCACAACCGGCAGGATTAGCCTTTCGTTTCTGCTGCTGGTTGAAATCTGTACTCGCACAGCGTGCTCCTGAATGATTTTTTTTGCTCGCACAAAACTATTTTTAGTCGCAAATGCGAGTAAAATGCTCGCACCGTAGAGCTCTGCGGAAAACAAATCAGTGTAGCATAAACAAATCTAGTCTACAAGTAAAAAGAAATAAATAATAACTTTCACTGCTTAAAGATACTCAATAGCTCAGCTAATACCTAAAATTTCACTGGAAAACAAACCATTGCAGCAGCATATTGAGTGCCAGGTGGCCAGCGCACGCCGTTATTGGACAGTGTATGGACACTCATCCTCTTGCGATTGGACTTTGAACTTATCCCACAGGTGAGGTACTGTAGTAATATGGTACTCCAACATTATGGTATCATATGTACTGTGGTGTTTTAGTACTGCGGTCTACCGTTGGTACCAGTATACCGTGCAACACTAATCTAGAGTTGGTTATCGTGATACTCAGATTATTCGAATTTACCAGCCAAGAATTTACAATTATTTGAAAAAGTGGCAGCTCACTGAATTTTTGTCTTAGAGTTTTCAATCTTTGGTAGAAAGTACCCTTATTTGTCTCATCCAAGTAGCAATGTTTCCAGCTACATCAGAATTTCAGATGACGTCAAACACAAGGAGTTCCATCCTGTGGTGTAAGGTAGTTACTAATGGCCCCAGTGCACACTATTGTGATGGGCCCCAGTGCACGGTAGTTAGTAGATATAAGATGCGCACACACACACACACACACACACACACACACACACACAGACACCACCGAAAACCGTTCATAAAAAAGCCAAAGGAATCTAATTTAGGGAGCTTTGCTACTTTTTCCTCCTGCTGGTTTCTCTGTTGTCCTTTCTTACTGCAGCTTTTATGTAGGTCTAACTTGCTAACCTGTATCTTTCAGATGTAGTCATACAATAAATGTATAAAATGACTCATAGGTCATCCCTTCTTGGTGAAAGTGGTGCTGTTACATCAATTCTGTTGTTACAACCATCCGTGGTCTCCCCTACCTCAAACCATTCAAACAACCGGGACAAAACCTGATGATAAAGAATACTGCTGCACTGAGTATCAATCCAATGTAAGTTATGACGAGAATTCCTGGTCTACCAGGAACCAGGAAAAGAGTAACATACAAGGTAAGGATTTTATATGTAATGACAGGAAAACCTTCAACCCTGACTCATATTGTGACACATGCACAACAAAACAACTCATTCAACAATCTTCATTTCACACAGCACACATCAGTCCTGCCGTCACTGGTTCATTTGCTCCAACTCACTGGTTTGAACCACTTTAACATTTTGACAAACACTCTAGGTGAAACAAGGTGAAACGGGGAGCCTGGCTCTGTCCGAATTTCAAAGATACACCTGCTGGCACTAATTAACATACTGTATTTCACAGTTGTTGTTACACTTCTGTTTATGTACAAATTAGATCAGTTCATCCCTCCGCCCAGCACTTCTGTGCAGCATCGCAGGCTGTAGCGTGAGTTTGCAGATACAGTTTGAGCACAGCTTTTGATCTCTGCACAGGCACAATAATATCAAACCTCACTGTGATGACAAGAGGAGCTGTGCACACTCACTGCACCAACTGTTGTTGACAAGAAATAGTTGAAGCACATAACCTCTCCTAAAACCACAATTCAATTTTATATATTTGTTTGTTGACAGATCAGACAAATGAGATCCAGCGTGTTGATCAGTGAAGGTGTATTTTTGAAATTGCACAGAGCCTGTTTAGCTGTTCCCTTTGCTTCCAGTCTTTATGTGAAACTAGGCTGACCACGCCTTGACTCCAGCTCTGTTAACACACAGACATGAAACTGATGTTCTTGTCATGTTCCTGTCAGAGAAAAGGTGAAGAAGTGTACTTCCCAGAATGCTGAACTATTACTTTAAAAGTAGTTGCAGGATGATTGTAATAGCTGACATTACGATATGAGAATGCGTGGTGTGGTAAAGCATCATGAGGCAAGTGACAGGATCCAGACAGCAACAGGTCAGTGCTTGCTAACAGAGCTGAGTCTGAAGGTGTGTGGAAGTCCTGCACGTAGAGTCTCATAGATTTTAATCTGAATTTTAAGATTTAAAAGCTGTTGAGCAATCACAGTTGAAACTTTTATAAATTTATTTTCAGATTCCATATCAGATGTTAGTTTTACTAGATTAAACGTCAAAACCTGATATACAATTTTCTAATTTTGAAACACAAATTTAAATGAATCAGATTCTGGCACACATAGATAATGTGTGAGAAATGTTTCCAGGTTCTGACTCATTCATGGAAACAACGTGCAGCATCTGGGTGCTAAAATGACCTCAGGAGGTAGGCTGAAGCTCCATCAAACAGAACCAAAGACTTTTCAATCACATCCTTCTCCTCAACATCCACACCCATGAACACGCAACACACAGATACAGTATGCTTCCACAAACACATGCAGAAAGAATGTCATACATGCACACACATACAATCAGTGAAGAGACCCTCTGTGAAGAGAGGATTTAAACATTTCCATCCAGCAGCTTACCTTTCACATTGAAATACTTGCTGCTAAACCTCTACCTTTAGCCCCTCTCCTTTTGCTCTCTGATGTGTTGGGTGATGGATGCAGTTCCTCAGAAAGCCTTCATCCTCCTCCTCCTCCTCCTCCTCCTTCCCCTCCTCACATCCACAGGTGACCTCTCCCCCTCTCTCTATCTTTAACTACACTCCATTCACTGAGTATCCTAGTCCACGCTTCCTCCTTTGTTTCAGCAGCCCCCGGCTGTGAACAAGATGGAGGAGACCTTTGGATAATCCTCTCCTACATCTGATTACAAATGTGAGGATGCAATCTTCAAATCCCTGTTCTGTAAGAGAGGGTCGAGCTGGTTAGTGCTTGGCTTATCCAGCTGCAGTGGGAGATTGGCGGAGGGGGGTGGGGGAATGGTAATGAGACGAGATAGTCAGGCGGCCAGCGTCATTGTCCCTCCACCTGGGAAGAGGGGAGCAGGGCTGATGCATGGATAAATATGTGAAGAAAGAAAACACCCTGTTTGTCTTTCTTTGTCTGCATTCTCCTCTCCCTTTTATCAACACTCACATACACACGCAGTTCCACCCTGAACACAGTTACTGCTTTAGTTTCACGCTCTGTGACGCTCTCTCACTCAACCTCCCTGCCACCCTCCCACCAACACCAACCCACTCTCCAACACTACCCCTGTTGCTATGGAAACTGCAATACTCAATGGGCCTGTGCGTTTTGGTTTTTTTTTGTTTGTTTTTTGTTTTTTTCAGCCAGCAAGGACACAACAGACAGCAAAAACAAATCAGCTGGGAAGTGCTCATGTTTGTGGTTGACTCGGCCACAGCCAATGTCACACATCAACTTGCTGGTTTTCCTTTCCATATATATCCCAAAACACGGAGGACACACATGACCATGATGATGACGTGTTAACAGATGGCCAGCACAAGCAGGGACTGTTTCTGTGACGTCACCCACAGGTTTGTGATGAGCTGTTTTGTTTACCACCAGCTGCCTCATTGGAGCAGGAAAATCTCAATTTGGTCAAGTGGGAGGAGCCTGGGTGGAGCTGAGCTGAGATCAACTAGATAAGATAAGATAAGATAAGATAAACCTTTATTGTCTGTCACAAGTAACAGAAATTCGTCTTTGGCAAGCTCCGAAATAAAATAGACAAGAACACACAAAACGCAATAGACATTATACAAGATATACGACAAAGCAGTGTATCTGGGTGGGACTTCAATTGTTATTTTAAACTGTTCAGGGTGGTGATGGCAGTGGGAACAAAAGTTTTTTTGTATGTGTTCTTCCGGGAAAGTGGGACTTTGTAACGGCGACCTGATGGTAGTAGTTCGAAGGTTGGGTGCAGGGGGTGGGTGGGGTCCTGTGTGATGGCGGTGGCTTTCCTGGTAACTGCCTGGGTGTAAAGTTCTGTGAGGGGGTCTGTGGGGATCCAATTATTTTCCCAGCCTGTTTTGTTATGCGGGAAATTTTTATTTTATGTTTGGTTTTAAGTGAATTGTACCAGGATGCCATATTGAAGGTGAGTCAGTGATTTGTAAACCATGGTTAGTGTGTCTGTACTGACACTGAAGGACCTGCGCTTCCTCAGCAGGTGGAAACACTGCTGAGCTTTCTTGTAGATAGAGTCCATATGTGTGTTGAATGATAAGGCTGTGTCAGTCTCAGTCCCCAGGTATTTAAATGACTCAACCTGTTCCACCAGCTGTCCGTTGATGCTGAGGGGCTGAAAAAGTGGAGACTCTAGTGAGTCCGCTGTTCCTCTGCTCCCACAGCACAGCTCCTTGGTTTTACTGATGTTGAGCTCAAGGGAGCTTTCCTGAAAAGTGCGGACCAGGTTGTTGACTGCCTGATGGTAGTCAGACAGTGCCTTGGTGTCGGTCACATGGGCCATGTGACGACCCTCTCTGCCCTGCCTGCCTTGTTGTGTTCTCCCTTGCAGGTAGCAGTGGGCGTGGCTGCGGGTAATCAGGGAAGTGGCAGCACCTGAGCTCAGTGAGCTTTTAAAAGCTCTGGCTGCTCACTGCTCTTTCTCTTCTCCTTCCTGAGGCAGCATTTGGTTTTGGGTTTGGTTTTATCTTAGTTTCTGCACCCTACAACATCACACACATACATTGTTTCACTCATGCCCTCACCTACACCACTGACTTTACTGATTGCAAAAACCAAGTTTAGTTAGGTTATATTTCTTATGTTTATTCTTTAGCAAATAAAATCCTTTAATTGGCTTTCCTTGTGTATGTGTCTCGGCCTGGTTCGTGACAGCCATTAAAGCCATGTCGTCCGCATACTTAAAAAGTGTCATTCCTTCACTGCTGCAGGAAATGTTGTTAGTGTAAGCAGAGAAGAGAATGGGAGATAAAATACAGCCTTGTGGAAGCCCAGTTTGTTAGATTTAAAACCATTTACCAGGACTTGCTGTGGCCTGTCCTGCAGAAAGCTCTTAATTCATAAAAACAGTGCAGAACCTGAAGCTCCACAAGTTAATGCAGTAAAATGTTTGTGTTGACAGTGTTTAAAGCTGAGGAGAAGTCCATAAATAAAATCCTGGTGTGGGGATGTACAGAGTTCAAACATGCATCCTCCACTCCATGTTTAGCCTTATAGGCAAACTGGAGTGGATCCAGCCTCTCTGCCACCATGCTGGAGAGGTGGGTGCACACAACTCTCTCCATGCATTTACATAGCACAGATGGGCAACTGGTCTAAAATCATTGAGGTCCTTAGCATGTGGTGATGGTGGATTCCTTCCAGTGGTGATGTACCCAGCCAGAGTCCAGTAGTTGCTGGAAGAACTTGGTGAAGACCCCACTTAGCTGAGTGGAACAGGTTTTGAGCACCCTTCCTCTGAGCATAGGAAGCAGCATCAGGGCCCGAGGCTTTATGTGGGTTCACTCTACTAAAAATGGAGGTCACCAACTTCTCATCTATGGTGAGGGCCAGGTGGGATCGGCTCAGGCTGGGGGGGTGGGGGTGGGGGGGTGTTGAGTTGCTTTGCAAAGGAGGTGGGGTCCTGACAGCTGACCCCTGCAGGTTTGGGGTCTCTTCCCATCATGATGTTCAACCCCTGCCATTCCTCCTTTGCATTTCCAGATGTTAGTTTCTGTTCAACTTTGTCTTTATAGTTGATTTTGGCCATTTTGGCCTTCCTTCTTCAGCTCCTTCACCCTGAGCTTATCACCCTCCAATCTGGAAATCCATCAGTTAAAAAAAAAAAAAAAACAAGGATTTTTTTTTTTTCTTCCTTTACCTCTGGAGGCACTGCCTGTAGTTTTTCGACTATTGGAAGTGCAGGGGCCTCGGGGATTGCTCAACCCCTTCACTTTCAACGGTGCCCCCAGGGAATCGCCTTGTTGTTTACAAATACTTACAGGTAGAAAACCAGCAGAGTTTAGCTATATATATATGTATATATATCACATTTTTCACAAAACTATATCACCATTTAGACTAATCTGATATTTGTAAAGTCTATAAACACAATGATTGAACAAACATTACTATTTCTGTGTGCATGTTTTGTAATTAATAACATGGTTATTGTAGATTAGCTGAGCTAACCGTTAGCTGTTAGCCCCGTTAGCGGTGTCTGTAGTAACTCAGTAACTCAATAAATGGTCCGTGAAAAAAATATTTTTTCCAGTGGATATCTTAGTTACAACATGATTGAGCTAGCAAAGCAGTTTTGTGTTGCTATGTGTGGTATTTATTCAGTTTTGGGAAATCACGATGTCTAGAAAGCATCAGTGGCTGCAGCTGACAGGGACAGCTAACAGCAGCAGCAAAGCTAACATCAGGACGTCATCTGTTAAAAGCCTCCTGTTGTCGGATACGACATGAAACTACTCCAGTTAGCTCAATCATGTTGTAACTAAGACATCCGCTGGAAAAAAATATTTTTTTCACGTTGACGAGATGGCGTTTTGGGTGGAGCGGTCGCCATGGACGCGGAGCTTGCTGTTTCTGTAGGTATACATTTCCTGGGGACACCTGCACGTCTCGGCCCGCCCCCTCCATTGTGATTAGCTTAAGCGCAGCATCATTCAAACTCAAAGCCCCCTGCCCCCGTAGTCATCTTTCACACAGGGCTGCCGACAGATTCTACAATGTAAATTGCAGAATCTGTCTTGAGAGATTAATCACCCTCTAAAAATGTTTTTTTCTTCTGAACCAAGCACATTTTCATGTCTTTAGTAATCCACTGTTTATTATTTGGATGCAGAGTTATTTGCTTGGTGGGAGTGACATTGTCCTCACAGAATAGAATATAAGAAGTCAGAACATCAGACTATGTGTTATAATCATCACCACAATCCTCAAAGAACAAGTCCCTGTCAGTTAGTTAAAAACACCCCCTTAGTGTTTCAGTGGCCTCTTCATTCCAGACCCTTATGGTTTTTGTTACTGGCATATTCCTTTTGAGTTTTGACCTGTACCTTGGCAATAACAGAATAACATTATGATCTGATCGACCAATAGGAGGGCAGAGTTTTGAATTGTATGCATCAGGTATATTCCCATAGCATAAGTCCAGTATATTTTGCATCCTTGTGGGGACTGTGACATATTGCTCCAGATTGGGCAGCTGTGTAGAAATGTCACATCTATTAAAATCCCCCAGTCCTATTGGCAGCTCTGTTATAACAGTCTGCTATGTGCTCTGCAGCCAGAGTAAAGTCAGGTCCTGGTACATAAACTAAAATCACTAGTTGTGCTGTACCTAGAGATGTACCAATACCACTTTTTCCTTCCCAATACCGATTCTGATCACTGAACTTTAGGTATCTGCCGATACCAAGTGCCGATACCAAGTACCGATCCGATATCAGCGCATAAAATAAAAATGGATGGGATATGAATTGTTTTATGTCTCAGCTCCTGAAACTCTATGTAAAATATTAAGAAATGAATACATAATAGTAGAATGAATGCCATAAAACTTTTTATTATTATTATTGTTATTATTATTATAATAATTTGGTAAAAAAGACATTTTAAAGGCTACAGTAGAATGTAGGGCTTGTATTAACAAATACAAAAATTTTCACCAGATGACTTAAAGTAAGAAAATTAAAAAATAGTGGCGGGGCTTTTCCTCACCACAACTACAGAGGCTACCAGCTGCACTGAAACAGACTACATTATAAAAGGGCCGTTATTTATTAATCCCTCATTTCAAACTCAACACTTCAAACTCAACACTTCCAGAACTTGTTTCAAATTAAAAGCCCCTTATAACCTCGGCTGAGAGAATCCCTCCATTTTCTAAATAGGCTTTTATTGTGAAACATTTGTAGGAATTTGGTTGTGGAGGGTACAGTAGCTTGTATGTTTACATACATCACTTCAAATGGAGCTCCTGCCGTCT